CAGGCACGGGTTAGACTCTGTACCTTGGACGCCCCGAACACCGTGCTCCCTCCCACGGAGGACAGTGCCCCAGCCTCCTCCCAGGTGCCTCCTCCTCCCCTCCCCTAGGAGCGGATCCCTTTTGCCGTGGTCGGTGCAGACCGAGAGCACATGGTAAACGGGAGGTGTGTGCTGGGCCGGAAGACCAAGTGGGGCATCGTGGAAGGTCAGTGCGGGGACCCCGGAGACACACTGAGGAGGGGGCGGGAACCAGAGCCCGGCCTGCACCTTAGGGACCTGGGCTGGGGCGGCAAAGTCCACAGACAGCAGCACACACACCTGAGCGGGAGGCCCAGGCGAGCTGTCTGACTTGGCCTCAGTCTCCTCTAGTCAAATAGGCATCACTGGAATACCGGGAGGGACAGAGTGCAAGTCCCCACACAGCTGACAAGGCGATCACGGAGGGAGGGACACTGGGGGACACTAGCTGAGGGAGCCAAAGGGCCCTGCCAAGGACCAGGCTGGGTAGCAGGAGCTACCATGTTGTCGCTAGAAACGTGTGTCCGCCATCGGTGGTACCATGGGCGAAATCTGATGCAGTGAAGGTGGGCTCACTCCCTGGCTCAGCAGCTAGCCGTAGTGGCCACTGCCCCAGGCCCCAGGCCAGACAGCGGATGAACGAATGGCTGAGAGAACCGAGGGAAGGGCAGAGGGGCAAGATGGGCCCGGGGTGGGGCACAGGGCTCGCTCAGTGCCCGCTGGAGCCACGTTCAGGCCCGTGTCTTGCAGTGGAGAATATGGCGCACTGTGAGTTTCCTCTCCTGAGAGATCTGCTCATCCGGTGAGGCCTGGGAGGCCGGGAAGGGGTCGCAGGGCCACCGTGGTCAGGGCTGACCTGCCTCTCACCACCCAGCTCCCACCTCCAAGACCTGAAGGACATCACCCACAACGTCCACTATGAGAACTACCGTGTCGTCAGGCTCAACGAGAGCCACCTATTGCCCAGCGGGCCGGGCTGGGTGAACCTGGGCCCGGCCTCCACCCAACAGCTGACCACCACTGCACCCTTGAAGGTCCGTAGGCGGGTCCAAGAGAATCCCAAGGATGAGTTCTAAGCACTTGCAGGCTCCCCAGGTCCTTGCACCCAACCCCCAATACAATACCTATTAAAGGTGGACATTGCTTTGTATTAGAAACTGTGTTCCTTTTTTTGGGGGGCGGTACCAGGGCTTGAACTGAGGGTACTCCACCACTGAGCCACATCCCCAGCCCTATTTTGTATTTTATTTAGAGACAGGGTCTCACTGAGTTGCTTAGTGCCACGGCATTGCTGAGGCTGGCTTTGAACTTGAGATCCTCCTACCTCAGCCTCCAGAGCCGCTGGGATTACAGGTGTGTGCCACCACGCCCAGCTCGAAAATGACTTCTTTGAGGTAGCCTCAGAGGAAAGTATGGTTCTGTTTTTCTCTTTTAATAGCATGAGACCCAAGATCCTCAGGAAGTCAATCCCACTGTCCTGAGCCAGAGCCCAGTCACAAATTGGGCTCTCCCGTTTGTCCTGACCTCTCGCTCTTGGCCTGGGACTAGGCCATGAGCACTCGACTCCCCCGCGTCCCTGGTGGCCTGACCTTTGGCTGTCCTCCCTAAGCCACTCTGAGCCGTGTGGGCCCTGCCTTCCTTCCTGCCCTGGCAGACCAACACGGTGAGCAGGAGATCCCAGCGCAGAGTCCCTTGTCCTCCCCTGCCTCAGGCTCTGCAGCTATACAACGGGGGTCGGGGGTGACTGTGTCCCTCTCTGTGGTGTTGGTATTCGGACCAAACTCCACAATTCTTGTTGTGCCTGCCACAACCTGAGAAATGGCACGCGGACAGAGGGGAAGTCAACCGGACGGAGTCAGTCCAGGGAGGAGAACCTGTGGCCGTGTGCGAGTTGTCCTCTCCCAAGATCCTCCAGGAGGGATGGACTTTACGTGATGGGAGCTGAGGCACTCCTCAGTGACAACGGTGAGCAGTTATCCTAGCTACAGGTCAACTCCTCCATGAAGCCTTCCTTGACTTCCCCAGATGATGGAGGCTGACGGAGCTCAGTGGTACAGCACTCAGGGGTGCTCGACCATCCCAGTACTTCCCCACTCCCCCCTATATACATAGACGATAAGATAAAAAAACCTTTCAATTTTTTTTTTTTTAATCTCAGTATTTGGTCACACCGATGGAGGACTAACACACTCTCTAACAAACGTCTTAGTGGTGGCACATGGCTACACGAAGGACGAAACACTGTCCCATGCCATAGCATGTTCCCCAGTTTGAGATCAGCCTTAGGCAATATGGCAATGGCTACAGTATTTCAAAACCGCATGCTCTTTGGCACCGCAAGTGCATTTCTAGGGATGGATATTACACCAGCCCTGCGAGCCTCTGCTCGGCACTACTGACGTTAGAGGCTGGATCATTCTTTGCTGGAGGAGGCTCTCCTGTGCACTGAAGGAGGTTCAGCAGCATCACTGTTCTCGACCCACTAGATGTCAGTAGCAACTCCCCCACTGTGACAACTATAAATGACCCCAAACAAGTCCCCTGGGGTACACAGTATGTCCAGCTGGGAATCACTGATAGCTGTGCACAGGTGTGCAGAATATCCTACCAAGGTTCCCAGAGAAGGGTGGGAAACAATGTACCTGTCCACCGGACTCCCATACCACTGTATTAGTTTCCTATGGGTGCTGTAACAAATTAGCACATACTGGAGGCTTGTCAGAGTCTAACATCAGTATCACTGGGCAGAGGAGGGCTCACGCACTGACCTAGCCACCATGTTGCCCCCCTCTGACTCCAACTGCCTCTTCAACTTTTCTTCTGAGCAGCTTTCTTCTGTGGTCACTTTGCATTCCAGGAACCACAGGTCTGAGTGATAAGCATCTTTATGACAAGGGACTGAAACTACCCCCAAGCAACAGTGAGTCTCAGCAGATTACCCCATGATGGGTCTGCCCCCTAAACAGAAGCTGAGGGAGCTTCTGAAGGAGCTGAGGCTGCCCCCCCTAAGCAGGAGCCATCATTCCACAAAGGGGAGCGAATTGCCCTCAAGCCACCATGACCTTCCCAGAACTAGTCCTGAGATAAGGATCGACCAGACAGTGGCACAAACAAGACAGATTCCGTCAGCTATGCAACTCCCTCCGGAGCCAAGCAAGAGCCAAGCAAGCCCCCCAGCCCCCAGCACTGCCTTGATCCCTTTGTCTTTAAACCTCACAGTGTCCGTCAGCTACTGAAGACAGATCTTTGGCCACTGCACCTCTTCCCTGCACTGCTCTGGCCACTGCACTGCTCTTCCCTCGGTGGCCACACTGATCAAAGCTCCTGTCCCACTCTTGGCCACTGCCTGTCTCTTTGATTGTCATATTGGGACAGGTGGAAGAGACTGGTCTGTCAGGACCCCCAGAGCCAGGGTCTTTGCCCTAGAACTCCAGTAAAAGGGCCCAAATCACAATCTGAGAAAGGACATGCTCCAGAGGAGACAACGTCTTTCTTTCCCCAGCTCCTAGAGCTCGGTTCCTCACTTTGTGCCCACTTTCTCTATTTTTTAATACTTTTTTAGATGTGGAGACCTTGATTTTATTCATTTGCTTACACGTGGAGAATCGAACCCAGTGCCTCACACATGCTAGGCAAGCGCCCTACCACTGAGCCACAGCCTCAGCGCCCCCCCCCCCTTTCTATACTTTCAAAGCCAGCAGCTTAACCCCTTGTTCCCAGGGCCACACTGCCTTCCCCTGGGTCAAGTCCCCCTCTGCTTCTCTTGTGATTATTGGGCCCACCAAAATAATCTTTCATCTCAAAATCCTGAATTCCATCCTGCCAAATCCCTTTTGTCAAATAAGGTAACAACATCTTTAGATTCTAGAGAACTAGAACACAGTGATTCCAGGAGGCATATTTAAAAAAAAAAAAAAATGTTTCCTTGAAAAAATTTTTTTTTTCTTGGAGCTACTTCCTACTCCGCTCCAAGCCTTACCCTGATCTCTCTTCACATCTTTAACATCCCTCTCTCTGGGGTAGGCTGAATTCCAAAGGCCCTCTGCAATGCCTTTCCTAGCCTCAGTTTAAATAGTAGTGTGTTTATCAAAAAAGAAAATGCAACAGTTGTTGTGTGATCACACCTGTAATCCCAGCCACTTGGGAGGCTGAGTCAGGAGGATCAGAAATTCAAGGCTAACCAGGGCAATGTAGTGAGACCCTGTCTCAAAACAATGAAAAGGGCTTAAGGGGGCCTGGGGTTGTGTAGCTCAGTGGTAGAACATTTGCCTAGCATGTGTGAAGCACTGGGTTGGATCCTCTGCACACATAAAAATAAATAAATAAAGGTATTGTGTGCATCTACAACTTAAAAAAAAAAAAAAAGGGCTTGAGGTATAGCTCAGTGGCAGAGCACCCCGGAGTTCAATCCCAGTACTGGGAGGGAAAAAAAGCACATGTGCACTCTGTAATCCCAGGGACTCACAGGAGGTGAGTTCAAACCCAGCCTCAGGGGCTGGGGATGTCGATCAAGCGGTAACGGCTCGCCTGCCATGCGTGGGGCTTTGGGTTGGATTCTCAGCACCACTTAAAAATAAAATAAAGATGTTGTGTCCACCGAAAACTAAAATAAATAAATTAATTAAAAATTCTCTCTCTCTTAAAAAAAAACAAAAAAACCCAGCCTCAGCAACTTAGCCCTGAACAACTCAGGAAGACTCTGTCTCCAGTGAAATATAAAAAAGGGCTGGGGATGCTGCCCAGGGTTAGACACCCCTGGTTCAATCCCCGGTACCAAAAAAAAAGCAGCTGCTGTTCCCTTTGATGTGACAAGGAAGCAACAGAAACTGGGAGACAAGGAAGCACAACATTTCTTGGAAGAAAAAAGCCAAGAGCCTTGTGAAATCTGTCTCGTGTCCCACTGCACCGCTTTTCTGTCATGGTGCTTTCAGAGCCCCCCGAGGCCCTGGAGTTGGGGATTGAGACACAAAGATTTCCTCTACCTTCCTCAAAGCCGGCTTGAAAACCTGCTGTAGCCTGGTCAGCGAGCCTCCGAGCTTCGCGAAGTCGTTCTCCGGGTCGTACCAAGTGGACGTCTCAACAGCACAGAAACTACCGGGTCCTTACAGAGACGAGGCGGTTCTGCAGCCTCCCCGGGTGGGCCCGAGGCCGAGGAAGCGGCCCCTGCCCACTCTACTCCCTTTGCCAGCACTGACCACAGATGCGAGTAAACAATTACGTGCAACTATTTTGTTCACTGTCTGTCTGTCTTGCTGGAACACTTGAAGCAAGCACAGGCTCACAGCTGGGTCACCTCGGCCGGCCCATTCGGGAACACAAGGAGCAGCTTTTAAGCCGGTGAACGAGCTGCAACACCCTGGGCAACCTGCGCTGCGCTGTGTGGACACCGAGGCCAGGGCGTGCAAGGGGCCGGCCCGTTCTCGGAGACAAAGACGCGGCCACCGGAGGCAGCCTTGCCGTCCTCTGGGGACACGACACCCGCCTCTCGCCCAAACCGGCACGTGCTCAGCCCGGGAGCGCCTGGGCCTGCGCGAGGCATCCTGGGAAGTGTAGTCGGCCCGCCTCCCACCCCCCACCTCCCACCCCCCACCTCCAGCGATCGAGACTTCCGCTCCCGGGGGGGGGGGGCACCGTCCTCGCGAGGCTTTGAGAAAGACACGCGAGACAGCTAGGGTGGCTCTGGGCCAAGGGGAGGGGCGCGCGAGTGGAAGGGGCGGGGCCTGAGCAGGTTTCCGTTTTGAGACCCCGCCCCCGGAAGCCGTCGTGGGCAGTGAGCCCCCTCCTACGCCTTTTAGGCGGCCACAAATTGGAAGCCAGCCTCCGCATTGTAGGGAGACGTCAGCAGACACTAGTATGGCAGTATGTAAAAAAGTGGATGTGTAACGGATGTGATTGTGCAATCTGTATACGGGGTAAAAATGGGAGTTCATAACCCACTTGAATCAAATGTATGAAATATGATATGTCAGGAACTATGTAATGTTTTGAACAACCAATAATAAAAATTAAAAAAAAAAAAGGTCCGGGGGTGTAGCAGGGCAAAGGATATTATTTGGGGAGGAAAGGCATGCATGAGTCGACCTGGGAGACCCTTTTTTCCTAGGCAAAAACATCGGCATGTTTCTTCTTTCTCCCTTCACCTTTTATTATTATTTTTTTAAATGTTTTTTAGTTGTCAGTGGACCTTTATTTTATTTATTCACATGCGGTGCTAAGAATTGAACCCAGTGCCTCAAACATGCTAGGCAAGTGCTCTATCACTGAGCCACAACCCCAGCCCATCCTTTTTAGTTTTTTGAGATTGGGGGGGGGGGGTCTTGCTGTTTTCTCTTTTGCCCAGGCTGGTCTTGAACTCCTGGGTTTAGGTGGTCCTCCTGAGTCAGCCTCCCGAGTAGTTAGGACTGCAAGCTTGTGCTTCTGCCCTCAAGCTTCTTATTTTGAGCAACTTTTGCTGTTGGAAATGAAGATGGCAGAGTACTTCCTACTTCTTTTTTTTTTTTTTGGAACGGGTACTGGGGATTGAACTCAGGAGCACTCAACCACTGAGCCACATCCTCATCCCTATATTGTATTTTATTTGGAGATAAGGTCTGAGTTACTGAGTGCCTCGCAATTGCTGAGGCTAGTTGTGAATTCCCGATCCTCCTGCCTCAGCCTCCCGAGCCACTGGACCTGCTTCTTTTTGGTACAGTTTGACCTGCTTTCTTTGATCCCTTAATGGATCAGGTCAGTGCTTGTCCTGGCCTGTGTATTCTGTGCACATGTTCTCTGTAGAACACAGCTACCTGGTTCCCAGATGTTTGCCTTTTAGACCAGTTGTGAAAGCCCTTGGGGGCACATGGAACCAACCGGAGGTGGCCAGGCCTCCTTCCACCAGCTGGCAGAGCCCAGTGTTCTGCCCACCTTCCTCCCCAGGCAGCCTCCGGGCCCTGGGCTCATTTCTCTCACATCTGGCCCAGGGCTGCAGTCTTCCCTCTTCCTGGCCCCAGCTGTTCCTGCCCTCAACCTGTGCCACACCTTGGTGGCTTCTCACGCGTGCATTCTCCCTCTGCTCTCCCACTGCTTCTCAGTGTCCCTAGCCATCATCATCTCAGGACGATGTGGATGGGAAATCTCGAGTTCCAGGTGTGTGTACTGTGGGCCTCCATGACTTTCCTTTTATGGGTGGGGAAACAGGTCTAGAGGGGCCCGGTAGCCGAGCTGGCTTAGACAGATCTGAACTCTCCACCTCCTTTTTTTTTGCAGTAGTAAATGGACACAATGCCTTTATTTTTATGTGGCGCTGAGGATCGAACCCAGTGCCTCACACAGGCTAGGCAAGCGCTTGCCACTGAGCTACAGCTCCAACCTCCTACCGCCTCTTCCTCCAGCTTGTCCTGTCAATAATTCACAGGCAGATTTGAACTTGGATCAAACACTTTATTTTCAAATACTGTGAGACATTCTAAAAGGGAGAAAATGTAGTCATAGAAAAAATAATTGCCTTTGCTCTTGACAGCTAAGTGGCCGTGATGGAGGCTGCCTGGCCACTACCAGGTGTTAGGCCTTGCCCCAGAGCCAAGGGGGAGGGGTCCAGCCCAGGCCTGGCTGGAGAGGCTTCCGGTGGCTTTGGTGGAGGCCTGCTTGACATTTGGCTTCTAATAGAAATGTCCCTCATGTTGGGGTGGGAGCTGGTGGTGGGCCTCCAGTGACCAGATGAGTTGGTGTCTGAAGAGCAGGAGTCTGTGGCCCTGGTTGTGGCTGCCTGTAGCTGGTGTCTGTGATGCTGCTGTGGCTGGGCAGGGCCTACCTAGCTCTTGGCCTGGCTCAGGGCTGGATACAAAGAGAACCTTGTGTACCCTCTGTTGTGGCAACTGGCAGAAACCCTCAGTTTGAATGTCTGAACATTTACCCAGATGCCAAGCGCCAGCTTTGCCTCCTGAGCCATGGCATGGAGGAACCCGACTGACATGGTTTCTCTGCTTTTCCACAGGGCAGGCAGGGGCTCTGGGCCCTTGTCCTGGGTACAAGTTAGCAAGAGATCAGGGCCTAGAAAGCAGTTAGTAAAGGGCTCTAAGATGGGGAGCTGGGGGACAAGCTTGTAACAGGATGGGGGGGACAGGCTTCTCCATGGAGGCCAGACCAGGCCCAGCAGGGGACCAGCTGGACCCTGCTTGGTGGTTATCGATGTGGGTGGGCACTGTTCCATTCCAGTGTTCTGTCTAGGTTCACCTTTAGTTTGGAAGGATCCTGGAACCTATGTGAGCTTTTTTATCTTGGGTAGAGAAAAAAAAAAGCGAACTTCAATTGTTACCTTTAAAAAAAAATAATAATAAGTCTGCCTATGTGTGGGTTTGTACAAGCTGTGTTAATTTAGGTTAGTTTGAAATAGCAAGTACTCAGGGGCCCAGAAAAAAGGCTGAAGTCTCTTTCAACCCTGAAATTATATAAATACGTTTTACTTAGTGTCTAAAAAGAACTTGTAAAATGGAAATGATAGATGCTTGATAAAGGGAAAAAAGAATAGAAATGGAAAAGGATGGAAGAGGCTCGCAGTCCCACAGAGTCCTGCGGTTTCCTTCCTGGCTCTGCAGAAGCTGGGGTCCACGTGGTTTCCCAGAGTTGCTGTCACACTTCATGTATAAATCTGTGTTTAAGTCTTTGCTGTGTGCATGAAAATGTCAGGACGGTTCTGGTGAAGGCCAGGGTGAGTTCACAGTCAGAGTCCCTACCCCACAAAGCCACCTGCTAATGGACACACGTGGACAGCAAGGGGCCCACCAGTGTATGGAAAAGCAGACCACCCCAACCTGCTCCTCAGATCCCCTTACCTGAAGCACCTATAGTTGGCCTAGAGGAGGCATCAGGACCTCCCTAGCTGACTCTGGCTCAAGAGGGTCCCCCAGGGCCCTAGCATGTCCTCCTTGGAGTCTGGTCTGGGTGCTCTGCCCCTCAGTGCTGAGTTTCACTTGTTCCTTCCTCTCAGTTGCATCTTCAAGGGCTTTCTGGCCACCTGGCCTCTTCCTGGCAGGTACTTGGGGCAGAGCTGTCCCTTTCCGAAATGCTCTCAGCTGCTGGAGAAGCTGACTCTTGCAAGTACAGCTCCTGCAATGCAGTAAAACCAACCTCCGTCAGCGCTACTGAGGCCAGTCCTCTCAGCATGTCACCACTGAAACCAGGCAAAGAAGGAATCTTTAAATTAAGGACATGATTCAGGCAACCTCTGAGAATGTCTGGGATCCTGTTGGGAGTGACGGGTACCGTGGCTTCGCCTTCTCTTCTTGGTGGGCACAGTAAGACTTTACCACGTGGAGATAGGGTTCAGCCCCATCAGTGGCTCTGGACACCCCCAGAGGCTTCCCACCAAATGTCACCATCTATCCTGTCTGTGACATTCTTATGGAAGGAGCTCTGTAGAGGAGTGCACTAATTCCTGCTAGACAAGGGTCTCGCTAAGTTGCCTAGACTGGCCTTGAACTTGAGATCCTCCTGTCGCAGTCTCAAGAGTAGCTGGGATTATACATGTGCCCGTTCTTAATGTCTTAAAGCCTGAACCAACAAAATATCTGTTACTGAGGATCATTTATATGCCCAACTTTGAGGTAGGAACTAAAATTATCCCTCCATTTCTGGATGAAGACATTAAAACATGAAGATATTAAAGCTATTTGCCAGTGAAGCAGCCTGATTCCAGAGCTGAGGACCACACAGGAGGTGCTCAATCCTCCTGGGAGGGACCATGCTTCTCAGAACAGGGGAGGGAGCTTGCTTAGTGAGCCAACCAACCGAGACTCCTGCCTTGCAAAGCAAGGCCTTGCCACTGAGGGCTGGGGGGTGGGCTGAGTAGGAGGCTGCACCTCCAGTTCTGCAGTCTGGGTGCATGGTACTATCACAGGCTTCCAACAGGAGGCCTGTTCAACACTTCTCAGGCCCAGTGCTGTCCCCACAGTGCCTAGCCATGTTCCCAGGAGCTGCATGAGGCCCTGCATTGCCAGATGCCATGGCACCTAATTCTCATTTGCCCATGACCACAGGATGGGGCCTCCCTCACGTCCCTGCAAGACACTTCACTTTTTAATTCACCAAGCCTTTAGTTTCTGGAGAACCACCATCACTTCACTCCATCCCTACATGGTCTCTTCACTCCCACTGTCATGAGTGGCAGGGATCAAGATCAATCAGGGGAGCTATTTTTCAGATAGAAAATGTACAAAGTCCTACTCAAGAGGGAGCTAGGATATCCTTAGTGATGTCCCAGGCCCCGCAGGCCAGACTGAGGTGTGTGCTGGGTCTAGCTGGGCTCTCCCTGGCTTCCTCCCCAGCCCCTACATCCTCCCTGCCCTATGTGTGGGCTCTTAAGGTACAGGTAGTGAGCTGAAGTCCATTATGTCAGATCAACAGATGGAACTTCACCAGGCAGTGCAAGGTCTTTGGGTGGTTACCGAAAATCCTGGGAGAGAGTAGCTG